GGCCCCTCAATCGTTTTTCTCATGGAGACGAAGAAAGAAGACTCTTTCCTCGACAGCAGGAGAAGAACACTGAGGTTTGATCACTCGGAGTATGTTAGCCCAACAGAGGAAGGGAGTGGACTTGCCCTCTGGTGGAAGGATGAAGTCTCTATTAGGATTTTGGATGCATGTAAATCGTTCGTGGATCTTTGTATTTGCAGTGAAGGAAGTAGTATTTTTTGTACCTTCATCCATGCTCCTACCACGGCGGTAGAGAGAAGGATGCTCTGGGATCGACTTACGAACCTCAGAGATATCCAGGATGAAAAGTGGTTGATTGTAGGTGACTTAAATGTGGATTTGGAGCCTTTTGAGAAGCAGGGGCGATGCCCTTTAAGGAATGAGAATGTAGCCCCTTTCAAGTACTTTATTGAGCGGAATGCCCTCATTGATCTGGGATTCTCGGGTCAGCCTTTTACTTGGTCAAATAAGCAGCAAGATGACAACCTAATTAAAGAGAGACTGGATCGTGCCCTGTGCTCTGCTTCCTGGAGGATCGAATTCTCTTCTGCAGTTGTCTTTCATGAAGACTTTGTGGAATCGGACCACTGTCCGATGAGAATCGATTTATCCCCGAAAAGAATCAGAGTGAATACACCCTTTCGTTTTGATAAAAGGTGGAGGGACGAGGAGGCTTGCTGTCAGATCATTTTGGATATGATTGAGAGAGGAGAAACAATCAAAACACCCTCTCCAATTGTCAAGATAGGCTCAGTATTTGGGCAAAGAATGACAGAGTCGAGAAGTGTCGAAGGGAAAGTGAAATCAGACAGAGCATACAGCAACTACAGTTAGGTCGCTGGCAATGATGGAGGAAGAAAAAGCACTGCAACATGAACTCCAACTCATCTGGATAAAGGAAGAAGAATTCTGGGCTCAACGGTCTCGCAACTCTTGGCTCCAAGAGGGTGACCAAAACACAGGTTTTTTCCATGCCAGCACTGTTAAAAGAAGAGTATCAAACAGAATTGAAAAGCTAAAAAACGGTAATGGGGACTAGATTGATAAACAAGAGGTGCTGGGAGTGATGGCCACTGAGTTCTACCAACAGCTTTTCACCAGCAGGGGGACCGCTTTTGACCATTCTCTTTTGCAGGGGTTCCCCTCTCTGGTGACCTCGGCTCAGAATGACGCCCTTACAGCGCCATTGGCAAATGAGGAAATCAGAAGAGCCACGTTCCAGTTGGGAGCCAACAAGGCACCAGGCCCTGATGGGTTCCCTGGTTTCTTCTATCGCAAGTTCTGGAACAGTATTGGTGAGGCCCTGTGCGAGGAAGTGAGGGCCTTCTTTGATTCAAGCTTGATGCCTAATGATTGGAACAACACTTTCATCACTCTCGTCTCGAAGGTGGAAGCCCCTGAATTGATCTCACAGTATCGTCCAATCAGCTGCTGCAACTTCAAATACAAAGTCATCACCAAAATTATGACCAACTGCCTCCAACCATGGTTACCTGACTTGGTTAATGAACTTCAGTCTGCCTTCACAGGGGGAAGACAGATCCAAGATAACATCATCATTGTTCACGATGTTTTGAACTATTTCAAAAAGCACAAGAAAGGAAACCGAAAGGATATGATGATGAAGCTCGACATGAAGAAGGCTTATGACCTTGTGGAGTGGGACTTCCTCAATGAGCTTCTTTTGGCCTATGGTTTCAGTGAGACCTGGTGCAAATGGGTGGGAGCATGCATTGGTTCTGTCAGTTTCAAAGTTCTCTTCAATGGAGAACCCTCTGCTAGTTTCTTACCTACTAGAGGACTTCGACAAGGTGACCCCTTATCACCTCTCCTATTCATTCTCATGTCCAATGCCCTCTCTTTTCTGATTGAAAGAGCAGCATACTCACGCGATATTGGAGGATTGAAGCTCAACAAACACTGCCCTAATCTCACACATTGTTTGTTTGCGGATGACACGGTGATTTTTGGTAAGGCTACAAAAGAAGAGGCAATCCACATTCTGTCTATTCTGGGTGACTATGGGGCCATCACAGGGCAAGAGGTCAAAAGAGAAAAATCTTCGATCTTCTTCAGTCACAATGTTAGCGGAGAGGAACAAGCTGAAATTAGAAGAACGACTGGCTTCGCAGATTCCATTTGCCACTCAAAATACCTGGGAGTCCCCACTGATTGGGGGAGATCAAAAAAAGAAACATTCGGGTTTCTTATTTCGCGTATGGAAAGAAAGGGGGAAGCTTGGAAAAGCCTCCTCCTCTCACCAGGAGGGAAGGAAACTCTCATCAAGGCGGTGTTCCAAGCTATCCCAACATTCATCATGTGCCTGTTCCTTCTGCCGAAAGGTACTACTAATAAGATGGACTCCATGCTTAAACGCTTTTCTTGGGGAGGTTCTACCACAAAGAAGACCATTCACTGGGTCAAGGGCAGTGTTCTGTATGCACCTAAGTTTGAAGGAGGGCTTGGTTTTCGACCTTTCCATGATTTCAACATGGCTCTGCTTGCAAAGCAAGCGTGGAGAATTTTGACCAACCCAGAGGCTATCTGGGTCAAACTGATCAAAGGGCTGTATTTCCCTCGGTCCACCTTCCTGGAAGCTAAAAAAGGAGGGAAGGCCTCTTGGATTTGGTCTAGCCTTTGGGAAGCAAGAAATACAATGTCACAAGGGATCATCCGTGTGATTGGTAATGGAGTGTCTACTAGAACGTTTCAGGACCCATGGCTGTTTGGAAGAGCAGGAAACCTTTTCCCCCATCAAACAACCTACCCTGCAACAGTGGACAGCTGGATCAATGTGGTTGAGAGAACTTGGAAGACGGAGGTGCTAAAAGATTTCCTTCCCCAGCAGGAACTCGAACAGGTCATGAGCACACCAATCGGCCCGGACAATATGGAAGATTTTTGGGCATGGAGATACACTGAACTGGGAGATTTCACGGTTAAGTCAGCCTTCCATTCCTTCCACAATCAAAGACGTAGAGCACAGGGAGACTTCAATGAGCCGTCACCCTGCACCAAGGAACGATGGAAGTGGCTATGGAGTATCTCACTTCCACCAAAGATGAAGTTCTTTATTTGGAAATGCAGCAGGGGAGCAATGGCTACGAAAGAGAATCTCCATCTGCGAAAGTGTGCACAATCAAATCTCTGCCCCATTTGTAACACATGTGTCGAGTCCATCCATCACTGCCTGTTTGAATGCCACCATGCAGCAGAAGGATGGAGACAGGGTTGGCCCTCCCTTATGCTTCCTCATCAAAGCATTTGCGTTCTGGATTGGATCCATTCTCTAAAGAAAAGGTATTCCATCTCCTCCATCCAGCACATTGCCTACCAGATGTGGCATACTTGGAAGGCAAGAAATGAATACATTTTCAGGAATAAGCACATTTGGCCACCAGATACAGCTAATCAGGCTTTGTCAAGCCTCAACCAATGGATCTCATGCCCACGTTTGAGGAGTCACCTACAACCTCTCACTCAGCCTATTCCAGACCCGGATCACTCTACACCACCGCCATGTACTCATGATTTTGAGATACACTGTGATGGATCGTTCATACACGATTCCCAGGAGGCGGCTTTTGGTGTTGTCTTTTCAAACTGCCATGGTCAAGTGTGTAACGGGAAGGCTGAACCCTTACACTGTTTTTCACCAATTGAAGCGGAAGCGAAGGCCCTCTTGGAAGGTGCTCGAAGCGCGATCCACCTTGATTCACCCTGCCTGGTCAGATCTGACTGTCTTAGCCTGGTGCGTGCAGTCCAAGGTAGGCCAGGCCCTTGGCCATGGCGTGTCTCGGCAGTTATCAAGACCATTAGGTAGATGATTTCGTCTGTCCCTCGGATTCGTGTGAATTTCATCAGTAGTAGGCGCAATACAAAAGCGGACTGGGTTGCATGCTCCTGTGCTAGGAGTTGTTTGCCCCAGGATTGGATTAATATTTTGGATATTGTGGCCCCTCTATTGTAACCTTCTTTGCTTTCGTATCATTTAATGAAAAGGAGTGTCTTACTGTCAAAAAAAAAAAATATTGCCTATGGACCATGGATGCATGTAGATCAAGTGATAAACATATATCCATGCGCATGCATACATACATATATAAAATAAAATACATAAAATAATTTGGGGAATAATAAGGAGCCAAGAGAGAGAATAGGTGGGTGACGTGGGCCTGTAAGGCGAGAGGAAAATATCGTCGCCACGTGGTCAGAGCCCAAATCTCTAAACTTAAGCATTGGAGCGCTGAGAGTCCTCCTAAAGATCTCCTCTCTCTTCTTCTCCTACAAAGCAATCAAAAAAATTGACGGAGTTGGTAAAACTCTGAAGAACCCAAAAGATTCCGAAACCTCCATTTCTTTCTCCTCACAGATTTCTTAGTCCACAGGCGGAAAACTCCACACCTGTAAAATCATCTCAGATCCCCAAATTCCTTCCTTACCAGGTACTCTTCTGTACTTAGAACTTCCCCTCTTCTTTTCTCTAGAAATCACCAGTTGATTTCATTTTTTACTCGGTTTCTGAGGGCTTCAATTTGTAAAGATTCGAGCTTTACTTCTTATCTGGCCTTCTTGCTGTTCTGGGTCTCTTGTTTTTTGGAATCAATTCGTTGGTGGTTCCTGATTTGGGGTGAAAAAAATTTTATCCTTTCGTTTTTCTTTTCTCCCCACCACTATTTAAGGGTAAGATTCATTGTGTTGGCTTTTGCTGCAGAGAAGTTGGTGATGGGTAGCGGCGGAGCAGTAGAGATGACATAATTCTCTTCAAGTTTTGAAGCAGAAGAAATGAAGATGATGGGAGGCTTAGATTCATGTTTCCTCATTGGTTATTGAGTGTTGCTATTCTGGGGTCTGTTTGTAATATTCAGGACGAATGTTGAGTTACGATATTTGGATTCTTGATTGGTGGTAAGAGAGTGCGGTTTTTGAGGGGGAAGGAAGCTGAAAGAGGGAGGTGGACCCTGAAAATAAGTCTGAAGATACATTCAAATAAAAGAAATTTACCTTCCATCACTGGTACCATCCCATGGATAATTAGCAACAAGTGCACCCTGAAAATGACAAGACAAGCTGAGAATGTCTACACTCTACAGTGAGCAAGACGAAGTCCAGTCACATGATAACAAACTTGCTTTAGCCAAGACAAAGGCCCTTAATAAGTCTACAAACCATTTCTTTAACTGGTGTGCATGATATGATTGAGTAATAAATAACTCCTACATTAGAACGAACGGAAAAATCATAAATGATAATGAAATCTTACCCCGTGCAAAGTTGCAGAACCTGTAAAACGTATCTCACTCAACCATTTCATAACTGCTGCTGTTTCAGGTTGACGCGTATGTATATCGTCATTCAGAGGAAAGAACTGCATTTAATGTGATCAAGAGTATTTTGACATAAGTCTACAGTATGGAAGATGAAAAGCTGGGCTGAACCATCCTGACCAAAACTTCAATATATATTTCTAGTTGAGTTTGAAATAACACAATGTTGCATCTTTACTTGACCACAAGTTTCAGTATGAACTATAAGCATGATTAATGGCCTGGACATCTTTTGAAGACATGTTACATGAAGTTGAAAAAGAGTTGCTCAGTGCCAAACAATCAAGATTAAATAGGAATGTGTCAGAGCAAATTGCACTGTCATGCTTCTTCTCTATGATACCTAATGCAACAATTTTGAAATAGTCTCAACTGTGACTTAAGAAGTTCTTTTGGGGTATATAGAAGGACTCAAAACTTATTAGCTATTAAAGCACACATATGTGAGCTGTTTCAATTGGACTTATTCAGCTAATTGCAAGATATTTTCCAGAAAAGGATGTCTTACCTGGTCAGGAAAATCACGATTCAGATCAATATTTTTTGCATTACCGCGCCTCTGTAATGCAAACCCATCAGGGTTAATTGATGGAAGAATATGAAGGTGACTATTTTCCACAATTGATCTGACCTGTAAAGATAAAAAAAAAAAAAACTAGGATCAAATCTAGGAGGCTATGTGGTAAAGGAGATCCAAAAAGTACATATCAGAGTAGAAATGAGAATACCAGAGGATCCTTCAAATGGTTGTCGCATATCCAATTAGCTAACCGAATAAGAAGTTCGCGCCCAACAGGTTCATCCCCATGAACATTTCCAATATACTGCAGAAAGTGAAAACAACTATGGAAATAAAATAAAAAACACAAGCCAAGCTTGACAAACGATGACAAGGAAAATATGCACCATAGGAATTGAGATATTTATATAAATGTATAATGAAACTTTTAGTAGACATTGAAGCTTATCAGAGGAACACATAAGCTAGAACTTCAGCATCCAGTTAGATGATACTACGTCAATTACCTTGAACGCAGGCTCGCCCTCTTCTTCCCCAGGCTTGTCAGAAATTTCTATTACCCACTAAAGAAAATGGAGAAACAAAAGATCATTTAGAAATTTGAGAAAATTCAAATTGTGTGAAAATTACTTTCTCAATAAGACCACATGGCTTAAAGAGGAAAAGGAGATGTAACTAGGGAAGATGAAGTGTGGAACTAACTTCAGCAAAAGTATTACCAGTGGAACTCCATTCACACTCTCCCCAATGCTGAATCCAGAGAACCCCTCAAAGAAACAAACCAAAATAAAAAATCAGTTGCATCACCTCAAAGCTAACAACTTGTTAACATCTAACCAAGTATTATTACCCAATTAAAAAAAAAAGACTACAAGATCTTATCAGGGACTACCTGTATATCCTAGAAATGTTGCTACATCTTCGCCCAAAATCCTTCACCGCCTTCTCGAGATCCGAGTTCGTCATGTACCCACGAGCTCTAGCGATCCTGGAAGCATTTTTCAAAACCCCCCCAAAATTTTCAATCCTTTAGAAACAAGGGAAATACCGCAGAATTAACTAAATTTCAGAGTTAGGAAGCCAAATCAGCATTACTTGTTCGGTGACTTCTCATCTTCAAGCAAAACCCGCGCTTTAGTAATAGCCACATTGCTCCTATCATTCTCATACTCTTCAAACAAACAAAAAACACCACCGAAGAAAATACAGTGATGACCAAGCTCTAGATCCAAGTCATTTCCAACGGGAAACAGAGAAAGAAAAGGATATATGTTACTATCTTTCCTACATATATCGAAACTATATCTGTTATTCAATCCTCCCGGATTATGCTCCAAATAGGAAAATGACGCAAACTACAAACTTCATCATTTGCTGCTTAAGCTCCACAATTAACCGACTAATTCATCATCAGAAATGCCCACAATTCGATTCAGACTCAATACAAACGAAACGCAGACGGAGAGAGAGAGAGAGAGAGAGAGAGAGGCGGACCTGAGAGAGTGCCACCGCGTTCGCCGCCTCTGGCGACGGCGGAAGGAAGAGCGAGGAAGAAGGAAAAGAGAACACCGACGAGGAGCTTCATTGAGGAGCTGAGAGCTTCAACAGGTAGGTTACACCATTTTTGGAGGTTTTCCCGGCAATCTGAGAAACGGTCGATCACAGTCTCTTCCGATCTCCCGGCTACTGCGTTCTGACTTTCCTTGCGTCTTTCTTTTTTCTTCGGATTGATCGTCGAACGACTGGATGCTTCTTACCCGCACGTGGAGGGAGCTGTTGCACGTGCGAGTTGAGAGAAGTGAGGCGTGGGCTCCGATGAATTGGGCTTGGATCATTTGAAGCCCATATGTGTTCCTCGCCCCGGCACAGCAAATTCTCAGCTCCGTGGGCCGACGTCCCCAAGGTGAAAAATATATGTAACATACAATTTTTATTTTCTGGCCCATCCATGGGCTTAAATCAATTAATCAACGGTAAAATATCGGGTATTGTACCAACTACCAATTCGAACATAAGACATCTCGATCATACACGGTTGTACGAAATTCGTAACTGCATGGGCCGCTGGCCCATAAACATGGTATTTGTATGTTACATGCAGTTACGTACGTTCAAGAGCAATTGGGCAAATATAAAGATAAGAAGTAAAGGGCTGTTCCTTGCTCCACGAGACATGGATATCTGTGGCTCTTTTCACTCAGTAGCATCTCTTCCTTCGACCACTCCTTTTTTAAGCTTTCGTATCAAAACATCCCTGGCCAATGTATAGCTATTACTTTGTAAACTTAGTGAGTTATTTTTACTTCAATGGGGAAGTGTTTTAATTAAGTTGTTATTTCATCATGTTGTTCAAGTTGCTTTTTTTCTTCTAGAATCTATCCAGACTTAGCCCACGCCTAAGCGAACTCGATACGTGTCATGATTCCAATACCTTCCTCACACATTCTTAGAATCTAGCTAGTTTTAAGCGATGCCTAGATGAACTAGTGTTTCAGGTGGAAAAAACGGGTGGATGGGTTGCGCCTGACTTCTATGAAGGTGACGATTGTTATTATGGTCCACACCTCTTCAAACACTGTTCGAACGAGGGTGTTTGGTGTATGGGGAATCTGCGTTACCTTACACTACACCTATGGAGATTCCTTGAGAGCTCCGCGACTACAACTAAGACCACTGCTATGGAGGATCCTTCGTGGATGAGAGCTCCGCAAACTACAGAGAAAAAGGGGAAAAGGGACAGTTGAGACAAGTTGTCTTTGTGTTGAGTTGTGATTGTCTGCTTGCTCCAGAAGGTTGCTCCTTGCGCAGAGTCCTCCAACTGCTCTCTCTCTCTCCTCCTCCCGAAAAATAGCTCCGCTTAGCCTCTACGCAAGTCACTTGTCGCCAAGAAGTCTCTAGACATATCACCACGTCATCCTAGTTCAAACATGGATGGTGCCATCAAGCTAGTACTTTGGATGGTATCCATGATATTGGATGGTCACCATCCCATTAATCCCTTGGATGGTGTCCATGATATTTGGATGGTATCCATGATGTTGGACACTACCATCCATAATAGGATTTGGATGGTATCCATGATGTTGGACACTACCATCCATAATAGAGATTTGGATGGTATCCATGTTGTTGGACACTACCATCCATAATAGAATTTGGATGATATTCATGTTGTTGGACACTACCATCCATAATAAAATTTGGATGGTATCCATGAGTTTGGACACTACCATCCATAATAGGATTTGGATGGTATCCATTACGATGGATGGATGGTAACAGTGACCATAGTTGGTATTGTCGCTATGTTGGACAGATACCTTAGGGCAAACTACTTAGAGTGTCCCAATTATACATAAATACTACATGTGATAATTAATAAATTTATTTTGGTGTAAACAACTAGACACTAGGTAAGGTTCCAACACCCTCCTTACGCCATCTTGAATCTTCATTCAAACCTGTAAACTAAGAAAAAACATAAAAGAGCACTCTGACCAGACAACCTACAAGCTCGTGTTTGCACTACAACCAAAAGTGTCGTCTATAAGGACCACGTTAAACAATCGATATATAGTACACTCTAGCAGCATGGGAAGAACCTATCATTGATCAAGCAACTCAATGGCGCATATGGCCCCTGAGGGGATGTCAAAGAATTCAGCAGGGCACGAAAGGTTGTTGAAGCAAGTTTTGAGAGAGGTCCAAATATGTATTTTACATCTTATTTTTTTTCTTCCTCCCCTCAAATGAAAGCCAAGTCACGGACTTGAAATTTGCACACATTCGCTGTATCATGTGCTTACTGGTATTGAACTGTGGTAACTTAATTAAACACGAGAACTCTGGGTCAAATCACACTCCGATGTCATATGTAAAAAAGCAAAATGATTCTATTGACTCAAGATATTAAGAAAAGTGCAATTATAAATCTTATCCCACTACGTACTTTCTCACAAAAATTACTGAGTCTTGTTTTTTTACTTCATATCGGATCAATGATGTCTACCATTGAATCATATATACACATCTACCATTTATTTATGAATTAAAGAATACACCATTAATAAACAAATATGTTCAACTAATCGATCAAACCGACCATTTGCATCTCTATATATATACTATTACTATATTGCGCGATATTTTCATTCACGAACTAATTAACTAGCTCTAAAGACGACGACAGAGGGCTTAATCAACCCATCAACGTAATTAACTAAGTAATGCAAGCGAAACATGATTATATTATGTTACGATCGCTATATAAAACGACGTAACAAGGGACCTACAGATAGCAATCCAGCGGCCGTCCATGGAAGTTAGGGTTTGTGGAATGATTGGACACGGGGGCAGCTAGCCGCCTCAGCAGTGACATCTTGATTCTGGGACCAGAGATTGCGACGTATATATCCGATACGGTTCGGTTAATCGAAACGTAATTAAGACGAAAAAAATCGAAAATGTTCGTTCTTCTAAAACAGAGATCTTAACGGTTTGGTTTGGATATAAAGAAATCGATTAACACCAAACTGAGAGAGAGTGTGCACCAAACAGTTCAACCTTACAAGCCATGCCTCACCCTTTACCAAAGAATGGGTTTCGGTTTCTTATAAGTTTTCCGGTTTCAAACCCACAATCGAAATCGTCAAAATACAAAGTATTTTATTTATTTATTTGACACATTCACCGTGCTGATGAAGTGTTGATGAGCACCCTATACTAAAGTATTGAGCAAAAATTTACCGTGATTTCTCGATTTATGCGTGTCATCATCACCGTGTTGTCGGCGTCGGTTAGCTTAATTATGGTTAACCGTTCATACTCATGCATGTCTCTTTAGCATGGCAATTTTATAACAGGAGAGAAAACGTTATCAAATGTAAGTAGTGAAAGGAAAGAGCAGAGGAAGGTAGACTCCAAAAACAATAGGGCAATGCTGATGATGAAAGTAGCATTAGTCTAAACTTTAAGCGTAATAATAATTAAGTCGAGGCTAATTAATAATTATAGCTAGCCAATAGTTTCCACTTAGTAGTGGTGATTCAGCTAATTAATTAATGTTTAGGGCTTAATTAATAGGGTTTAATGGAGAAGTGGGGCGACCGACATTCACCTCCCACTTATGAAAACTTCCACACTTTTTCTATTACCTAGCTTTTTGGCCTTTGGGGGTTGGGTTTTTGTCGTTCTAGATTCTTCTTTAAATTACTTCTTCTTCTTCTCTCCCACGACACCAACTATCCTTCCTCCAATCGCATTCTAACAACGCTAACCAGCCGATGTTAGTGATGGTAATTTGAACTCGCCTCGTCGGGTATAATCTGACCTCTTATGTATTAGGGTGGATAATACCGAAGTTATAGAAGCGTGGAACAGGACATGAGTACTACTTTTGTCATATTCTGACTCATCTCGTCTCGTTGTTGACCTGTTATTATATCTTGATCTGTATCAATATTCGATTGCAGTTCTTGTATATTTACTTGACTTAAATCACATTTCACTCAACAATACTTTAGATAAGTGAAAGACTTCATCTTTCAACTAATTTTCTCGATTAATCTACATATTATCTCTATTTTCATTTATGAACTACGTTCCTTTTGACTTGCCTCGACTCATACCCACATGAATATTATCCGACTTGACCCGTACTTGATATGCGTGACAAATATGAATATTGAGGTATCACCCGTCTCATTGTCATCACTATATGATCTCCAAAATAAATAAGAAAAAAAATTTAACTTCAAAATTGGGATGATATTGGGAGGAAATTTGTATTATGATTAAAGAGGATTAAGCTTTAATCATGAGCATATTTGGGGGTATGAAAACCATGCATGACAATTGAATTATGTATCCCATCATCAATCGTGCGGCGGAGGAAGCAAAGAGGTATCTTCATATATCTATCTAACGGCGGGCGTTAAAGCCAACGACCCGCGGGCGTACCGAGTCGGGTCGGGTCGCCGGCCGAAACTCTTCCCGGATCTATACCTGGCAGCTGATTGGCTGGATAAAATATCTAAAATAGCGGGGCCAGGCTGGCACCTGGTTTTTTTCTAGATATTTACGGCGGCCAGGAATGCTGCCCGCGGTGGTTTTGTGGTTCCTGCCCGGATATCCTCAGCCACTGAAGCCGGCGACGTGCTCGTTTTATGGTGGTTTTGATGCTTCTCGGGCAGGGGTTCGGGCAGTAGTGCTGCCTGGCCTGCTTTATATATTGGCATCCACGTGAGATTGAGAAAGACACAAAACCTTTTTTTTTATCGATAAGTATATTCTTCTAATACTGTTTTCCGGCGAGGAAAAACTGGTGTTTGAACACAATGAATGCACCTTGACTTCTCGAACAACGATTCTAAACACGGTTCACACCTCTCCGAACAATGTTCGAACGAGGGTGTTTGATGTTTTGATGGTTTTTTGGGAACAAGCTACGTTACTCTACTCCTATGGAGGTTCAGTGAGAGCTCCGAAAAACTAAAAGGCAAGTTGCAGAGAAAAGATAAATTTTGACATAGTGTGTCAAATGATTGGTTGTGGAACCCTTTTCCCGTCTTTGTTTCTCCTATTTATAGCCACTGGGTGTAACTGCCTTGGTAACCGCCGTAGTAACTGCTAGCTGGCCTTTTGCTCCAACTGCCTTAGGGGTCGCTTGTCGCTGCCTTGGTGACTAGTTGGTAACCGTCGCCTTGGGGGTCTCGT